AGTGCAAAAGCTGAAGGACGGCTGGGAAGAAATGGAGAAGGATACCTGCGTGCCACATGCGATCAAGTCGAAAGCAAACTTTGACTTCTATTCGCGCTCACAGGGGATATTTTGAAATGCGACTTTAGCATGTTGTAGCACACAGTGTTAGCTAACGTGCATAGAAATTCCATCGTCTTTTGCAGTTGAGAAGTTTTAAATATATTGCTATAAATTGGCGCAAATAACTTTGGGACACCCTGTACAATAGTCAGAAGGCGTTGAGTACAGCATCTTCGCGTCAGTCACATCCCAGGTCTGATAAAATGTGACCAGTGACAGTGATGATTTTTAAAGAACATAACTCGCCAAAGAGGTCATGAAAATGGACACGCGAGGATCGTTAGATAGAGTATGGAAAGCCCTCCCAAATACATACTAACGATTCGCCCAACTGTTTCCTTCCCTGCAACCATGCTCCATGATTTCAAGCCGTCGCAACTTTACCTCCGCAACACCACATATTTTTTCTTCACCTGTCCAAGAACCTGCAGCAATTGATAGACGTATAAAGGAAGTTTTCAAGAAGGACGCTCCTGCTTGAGGCACAATTTGCAAGTGGCACTTGAAGTTCGCGTTGAGCGACTATTCCATCGAAGGAGAAGACTGTCCAGGGCGCTCAATAAAGTTGGTTTTGAACGTGCTGTGAGCCAGGTGGAAGCCGATCCGTACCAAACTACGTGTGAACTGGCAGTCACTCTTGGAGTGAGTCAGTCCACAGTTGTTTGTGGATTGAAGTCAGTGCAAAATCTCGGTCGAATGGTGCCTCATGCTTTGGAGCAGTATGGCATGGACCGCCGCGCTGACATGGCACCTTCTCTCCTCACGCTCGAGCGCAAAAAACGTTCAAATATATTCTTATTACGTGCTTGGAAGAGCTTTTGATACTCTAATTAACGGTGCCACGCGCGTCCATTCTCGTCACTCTTTCCCGAGTTATGATCTCTAGAAGTCATCACTATCACTTTGTCCGAGGACTCATGACACAAGCTAACATATACCTTCTGCTAAGGGATAAGTAAAGCCGGTTAGCCGAATTACACTTTGACCCTACACTATCGCCTCAAATTTCATTCATGAGAGTAAGTAAGGTCAAAAGGTTTGTCTGGTTTTACCTACATAAGATGTGCTGTATAAAGGAATCAATCATAACGATTTGTTTTAGGCTCGTAAATGAGTGTTTTGTACGGTGTGTAGCTAGCTCTGTGGGTCTGTAATGATGCTCTCTAATCAGGACTAGTATGAAACCACAGTTCATAGTATTTACCCATTTGAATAAAAATAAATGACTCAGCTATCAAGTAAATGCCCAATTTTTTCCCAATCCCAGCTTTTTGCAAGAGATAATCATCCCAACAACTCCGCTGCTCTTCCCCTTTCGAAGATTAATTGGTAAACTATATTACCTTGACTGGAAACCCTTACTAATTGTAAATACCATTACAATCTCTTAGAGCCGTCCCTAACCTCCTTTTCTAAGACTCTGCGTCTTTGCGCTTGTGTTAAAAGGTCTCCGCTACTTAGATTTCCTAGATTTTCACCGGAATAAGTTGATCCCAAGCTGAATATCCGCCATAAATATAAAATATCCATCATGGTATTTCTTTCAGAGATGGCTATTCCCCGATGTGATGTCTGATCCCAGAGAATAAATCTTTCGGAGAACATGGCCACAGAAACCTGACAATTTCTCTTTATTAAATAATGGTCAGGAATAACAGTAAATAACAACGAATCCCGTTGATTGGTAATGAGGTAGGTGGCTTCGTACGTCCATCTTCAAGTTCTCATATCATAACCATATGATTATGATGGTAACGTTATATTTACTGATTACGGTATGTTACTATTTTTTACGTCCATGTCAGTTTAGTTAGGGTTTTTTCCAAAGTCTATTCGACCGAGTCGACACATTTTTAGCGATCCAAAGGTGAATCTTAGGTTTTTCAACTAGGCATTCTGTTGTGCTGTTCTTCTGATGACTGAAAATGACTATCCAGCCATTCACATTTTTCAATCATACTCATTGTTATATTTCTTAATAATAATTATAATTAGTTACGAGCTTAAATGTTCAAAATGGAATGACTATAGGAAATACAGTAAGCACTTTAGATTCTAAGCCCTGTGCGAGGACGTGTACTGAACGTTGGTCTGTTGTTTGCCTATGATATTCCGGGCATGGAAGTTACGATTGGTTATAGGTGTGTTTAAAAATTCTAACTCAGTAAATTATTGTTAAAGGCACAGTTCACAATAAATTCAGNGGGGGGGGGGGAGCTGGACGAGTTTCACAGTGAAAAAACGGCGGTTAAGGGAAATGCGACGCAATGTCTGCAATTGCACACAACACACCCAAACCGCTGTTTTTGCCTTCACTGTTAGGCAAACAATGGGCAAACAGCTGATTTCGTGCTGAAAGGTGGATCCTGACGCGAATACGTGACTCTGTACCCGTCTGCACCTCGTATGACGTGACATCGATCGAGGGGCGGGAAAGCCAATCACGGCAACAATAGGGCTGCACTATGCCCTGGACGTCGAGATTGGGGGAGTGAGAGCGTCCCTCCTACCAACCAGGGGGGTCGCTGAGTATTCCTAAAGGAAGAACTCAGTAACCTTTTTTTTATCGTGTATCGTGGACAGAAGTCGAAGATTTGAAGGCAAAATTTGCAATAATTCTGGATATCTATTCTAAAGGCACAGTTCGAGATAGTTCGAGGTAAGATTGAATTGAAAGATGAAAAATGGAAGAGTTGCTGGAGATTAGGACATCGGCGGGCAAAGACGGCAAGGACTAATCAACCCAAAGTTGTCGAAAATAGCCTTCCATTGTCGCCATGAGTGATGACATGTTGTTTGACAACTTCCAAAATGAGAGTCCCTTAGCATGGTACAACCTCTATAACACCGTTGTAACTCGTCCGTCCGTGGGTGTGACATTCAAATGGTACGTGCTGGTTCGTTTCGCGGCCCCACAACGTCCCATTTGAGGGGACCACTGGTTCCTCGAAGGGGTAACTTCAGAATTTATCGTGAACTGTGCCTTCAAACGTGGTAGAGAGCCAGGAAAAATATCATTTTTATTCATAAAATTGTTTCAAAATCTTTGAATTCGAATAAGCTGAAAGGCTAAAGAATTTTTTCAGCATTTTCTTTCTATCCCAACTAGCAATGACTACTTTTAGAACTTCAGCTTCGGCTGTACTCATTGCAAGAGATCGAGTTAAAAACGAAAATCTTTTGCCCGGATATGATTTCAAGTTAGTTATACACCCATTTTGATTTTTTTAGTCAATGTTACTTGTAAAATTAATAAAATTTTTTTGTTTTTCTTCTGCATAATTTAGCTGGCCAATAGTTTTCTACAGCGATCATGCCCAAAAGATAAGCACTCTTTCTCTAGAAAAAGAACCGAATCTATGCAAATTTTTTTGCTAAGTGATTTCCCCTGCGGAAGATCTCCTGACGAATGTCTGGGGAACTGCCTTTGTGAATGTCACCCTTTTTCTCCCTGTTTTCGTGTTTTCAGTTTTACTGTTCGATTTGACCAATGCACTGAGATATTGGCTGCTGGTTATACTTTGGAATTAATTCGAGATTTGAATATGGACGCTATTATTGGACCTACATGTAGTTATCGTAAGTTATTTTTCTCTCCCTCCTATAAATTTTCCTGAAAGCATAAGACCCGTGCTTTACAGAAAATAATCCCACGGAACTTCTCAGTGAGTGATCCAATGCCTGCGGCTTTGATCAGTCTCTTTGAGGAAATAAGAACCTTTCATTAAACACTACCGAGTCATGTCGAGTTGGTTCGGCCACTCTTGACCCTTCCCATTAGATCAATCCCTTTCACTACGGAACACGACACAGCCGTCATCCCGTCAGTTCGGTTCAATCTTCAGAGTTTAGGATTTTGACATTAGTTATGTTCGATTAGAGGACTTCCACTGCCGTAGCTAACACCTCGACTTGATGGTCTCTCTAGCTATCGGGTGACAAGCCGGGTCCGTCAACGTGGGGGTTCTTATTTGTGGCAGATCTACGAATCCCCTAAAGTTGTATCAGGGTGGAATTGGAGCGATTCAACACGGATTCTTCATAGACTCCGTCCATATCTATAGGCGGTAAGACTTCCAGTTAAAAGACGAGTAGGTAGCGTGAAGCCAATATTCGTTATGGTAGTTCTGGGTATGTGACCACTCGGTTCCTGTCATATCATTCAAGTTACCTCAATTTTGTATTGGAGGACTGCTCGCACGGTTCCATGATATCTATAGTTTACGTGGTCCCATCATGAATCCTTTGTGTTAGGCTCATTTGGCATCCATTTAAACAAGTTTTTAAATATCATGGCTGTTCGAGTGCGGAGGTGGTGTAGGACAAGTGTCTCACACAAGCATGGTTCGGGGGTCGAAGCTCGGACCAGTTCTCTCCCAAACCAGTTGGCATCGTCCCATTGGAAAAATGAGCACTAATTTTTTCTCGACTGGCCACTGCAAACCGTTGCATATGCCATATAAGCTCCCAGAAACGACCGTATGAGTTCTAAATAGAATTCAAATTTGGAAGCGTATCCTGGAAAAAAAAACAGGCGGAGGTGGTGTGGTGGCAAGTGGCGCACTATATCACACGCACTGACGGGGGTTCGGATCCCGTTTCGGCCCACCTAAGCCGACCAAGCCTTCCATCCTTCCGGAGCCGGGCAGTTGGTACCAGACTCGTCTGAGAGGGTAAGATCACCGACTTGTTCATCGGTTGGCCACCGCAAGTCATTGTATAGACCACATACGCACTCATTACGCCACTACGATTCTGAATGGAAGTCGAGTGCGGGGGCGCATCCCTCAGACGGGATTGATTAACGCCAAAAACTTTATCCCTTATCCTTTTAACTTGAAGACGGTATTGAACAGTGCCCACAGAATTCATTACTGATTGTTCCAACAACTGAAAATTATTGTTAGCGTTATTTTTTTTATGAATATCTTTAGCGGCAATCGTTGGAGCGTTGAATGCAGCGTACTATAACATTCCTACTTTCCTTTGGGGTTTGACAACTTCTTCTGTGCTGGATAGCAGAGATCGATTCCCAACAACTGCCTTACTGGCTGTCAACTCTTTCAGGTAAATTAGTTTGTATGCCTGAAAAATTTTGTTCAAGCAACTAAATATTCTCTCTATCCTAAGTAATAAAAAAATTTACCATTTTTCAGTAGAGTAAAAAAAAATGGACCATTTTTTAGTAGAAATCGAAGTTTTCATCGATTTTCATTAGAATAAAATACACGGACGTGGAAGAATTTTCTGGGAAACCTCGTATTTTGTTAAAGAATAAACAAGAATTTCAAACGCTCGAATGGGAGCAGTAAGTATGCACAACGGTAGTGGAATTCTGTAGAATTTCCTACTTTTCTGTGTTCTTCAACTTCCACAGAGAAACTCCTGAATGTGAGGAAAATGTAGGATTATTGAAAAAGTGAAAGGAAAAAATGAGGAAAATAGGAAACTCAGAAACTTCTTGCTACAGCCTTGGAATAGCAATTCGATGTGTGATGAGATCATTTGCATGGGATCAATTTGCTTACGTCTATTCAAATGTTGGTGACCTGGAAATGTGCGAGGTTATGAAGAGTGACATTCAGGTAGTTTTCGTATCTTTTAAAACTATTTTCTACAAGTAGTAGGTACGTTGGTACGGTACGGTACGTTTCTCGCTCATAAGCTAACCTTTTAACTTTGAGAGCCCTATAGCAGTTATAATAATCTGCAAGCCACGTAGGAAAGTCCCAAGTGGGAGCTTCATTAAACAGTTCGCGAACAATGTCCGTTTCTCGAACAAGCATAATTAAAGGCACAGTTCACGATAATTTTGAAGTACCCGAATTTATTCAGAAAGCAGAATTATTGTTTTGGAATAGTTTATTGGTAGTGAAGAAAGCGAGAGAATTCGTCGTTTTGTGAAAAATATGACTCCTCAAAAGTAGGGAAAATAGGGGTTAGACGAGATTGTCATGACGTAAATAACATGGAAGGGGTATTAAGACGAGGTTTTAGTCATGCGCAAAGAGCTGACTACATCAGGCCTGAACTGCACAGAACTGTCTTTCACGGTCCTATGGGTCATGGCAAGTTGTTTGAACTTCCTACATGGTTCCCTTGGGATCGGTGCAGCTTCTACAATGCCGGTGAAACTCGTCCGAGGATACCAGGGGCCAATATTTGGGCTTTTGTAACTCCCTAACAGGCCGTTCTCCGACCTAGTCGTGCCAGATATGATATATGCAGGGGCCCCAAATTCATCCTGTGGATGAATCTCAGGAACCATTTTTATGGTGAACTGTGCCTTTAACTTGGTAAAATTGCCTGGAATTGGTCCAATCTGTTTACAATGTTTACATTAAGTTCGGAGGTTCAGGTATTGTCTCAAGTTCCAATAATTAGAGGATATCTATTGAAAAGCATATACACTGATGATGAGAGATAATTTCTAGACCGCTATTGGAATGACAGATGACGTAACGATTTCTGCCCTCTATTCGATGAACGATTTATCACCAGAAACGGTAATCCGAACTTTGACCAATGTCAGCTCAAGAGCAAGAAGTAAAAATCTGATACAATACTGCTCTACATGGATCATTATCAACGAATCCATTTTTCCTGTGCCTATTGCTTTAGTTGTTGTGGTCTGTCTAGCCGAGACGATCGGACAGAAACGTACTTTTATTCTGGCTGCGAAAGACGGCGGATTTCTGACCGATGAGTACGTCTACATCTTTGCTGATACGAAATCAAAGGGATACAGTAAGTCTCTGATAATTTGCTACTTGTTAGTTTTTGAGAAAAAAAAACGAACTGGCTGTAATGATAAGCGATTTGACTGACATTGATGATAGAGATCATTGTCTTGGGAATAGATGGCTTCGGTTGTCCGGAAAATCTCTGGCATTTTTAAACCCCCTAAGTTTGTCAACTGTTGTACCAAAGACCGAGGACCTAGCTTATAAAATTACATGTTTTTTGAAAGAATAGGTCCTCTTCTATATTCTTGTTGTGATTCAGTTCACATTTGTCAAAGTTTTCCTGTACAGGACTCGCGATAGAATTGAAAAACATTGCGTGGATTTTCGGCATCTGAAGCTTTTCTACTATTGCAAGGCCTAGAATGCGAGAGAATGATTTGTGACGTTTGAGTAGACGATGCTCTAGAGGAACGTACAGTGCGTGATTGGTGTGCGAAATCCAAACAGAGTGAATTCGCCTTAGAAGACTGTTACTCTCAGAGGGGCTATTAACAGTTAAAACGACCAAATAAATCCAAATGTTAACAGAGGTGAACCGGCACAGCACTTCTCGTAGAGTAGGACAAAGGCTTGATTCCTCTAAATCAACCATTTATGATCACCTGCTGGAAATAGTTTTGTAAAGCGCCTCGATGTTGGGATACATCACTAAATGTGCGAGCGCAATATGGTGGAACCTGCCTCCGTGTGCGACTCCGTTGCTCAAACTAAATAAAATGGATTATTCCCAAAAAAGATGAGTACGGAGGATGGAAAGTGGATAGTGTACGGCAACGTGGAGCAGGAACGATCGTGCATGCTTCCAAATGAGCCGTCACAAACCGCAGCAAATCCACGTACGGACGATTATGCTGTGATGGTGGTATGATTGGAGGGAAATCACTTATCATGAGCTGTTGTCGCTAATCAAACATAACTTCTGAGTGGTGCTATACTTAGCTAGACAATTGGAGGCAGCGATAGACCAGAAGCGACCCGAACTGGCATATCATGAGGGCGTAATCTCCCAGCAGGGAACCTCCAGACTGCTGGAAGCACCTGAGAAGGTTTTCCGATTTTAAATCTGGAACCTTCTAAGTAAGTGGGATACTGGAACTTTTAGGAAGATGGTGAATCCTTATTGAACAGAGTGGGGGATATATCGTTTAACCGATGGATTTCTTCTTCGAGGAATTTTCACTTATGGATGAATCAAAAATCGGCGGAGGCTTTTTAGACAACCTAATATAAAGTGGTAACTTAGTATGTCTGCTTGTGGGTCCGTTTGTGCGTTATTTTTATACTGGTCCTCTAACAAGTCGCAGGTAAGCGTTAGACTGAAGAAGACATTAAATGTCAAAACTAATAGGCAACGATTCAATTGAGGCTTCGCGTAGTATTCATTCAGTTTAAGATCACATGGAACCAAAAAAGCAAAGTTTTGAAGTATTTTCATTATGTAAAGGTAATAATGTTCCTAGAAGGTTGTGCATTCGTTTTTTTTTTACGAAAAATTTTTAGCTACACCCCTTAGCGGTGGACAGGAACGAGCAGCTTGGGTAGATGTTAAGAGTACGAATGATGGTAGAGATGAGGAAGCGAAGAAGGCATTTGGTCGGACATTGGCTCTCTCGGATGTAAGATTTACTACATTCTTTTCACTCTTTCAGTTTTTTAGGCTGATTAGAACAAAAACGCAAATGGTTGCAGAGTAATCTGAAACACAAATTAGGCTCCAAAAAGTAGTAGTTAATAAGGGTTTGTACGAGATTATATGTCTATAATCGTCTGGGTGTCTCTCGCATGAGCGCACTATTCGTCGGCGTCGTAACGCTTCTCTGTGAATGCAGCCTAACCCTTTGACGACCATGGCACCCCTCGGTTGGTGCCACTATGGCTGGGCGCATTAGACCATGGCTCCCAATGTTGGGTGCCAAAATGTTTTCTACCTTCGTTTGCGCATTTGAAACTTATTTAATATTTTCATATTTATTAACAAACTCTATGGTAATTATATTCAACATGGTCCACGTGACTGTTTTCTAGGAGCTTATTCATTACAAACATATGTATAGTCAATGGAGTAGAACTGTAAAGGTTTGGATACCTTGGCAAGATTTGTGTGTGTCCTGGAAGCATTGGAGGCAGTACTTAGAACTTACCTTATCTGCGATTCGTGACCGCGCGGTCGATCTCTTCACTTCATATTCCTTGGATATTATACGATTTCCTACTGCTTACACTATTACCAATATTCTAACCTATATTGCTTCCAAACCCGATGTGCAGTTCTAAGCCTCAGTTTTATCCTTACTATACTATACTATCCTTACTATATATACTATATATCCTTACTATATATATACTATATATAAACCACATCCTTGGTGTGTCTGTTTGTCTGTTTGTTTGTTTGTCCGTCACGAAATTCG